GGTGCCAATCAAGTGGAGTGCTTTATTTTCTGAATAATATTGAGCTTCTTGAAGGTCAGTGGAATTGCACTCATCCAGGCAGTAGGTATATTCCATGCGCTATTCTTTATTTGTGCATTTTTAGATAGTACAGAGATAATGAGAATTTGGGAGATGAGCAATTTGTCATAAAATGAACAATCTTTGAATGTTAGGTTGCATGGATTTGTGTTATGATTCCAGACAAGATTGCTAAGTTAATTTATGATCTCAGGTGAGACTGCCATATTAATGGAATACTCTGGTCAGGAACCAGTAATATTTTTTATGTACGCATCCTGGGCATTTACTAAGAGAAAAAAAAATCACAAGATTTTACAGTTTGAAGCAAACAACTTAAAATTTGCTGTAGAAGTTTGGAAAAGTAAACAAATTTACAAAATCATTACAGCTTAAACTCTAGCATCCAGTATTAACATGAGGTAAATTGGGCTAATAGACAAGCTATTTCAAACACCCGACAGAGCACATCAAATAGCAGATGCAGTCAAGATAGATCCCGTCAGTTTTCAGCAACTACCCAGATGCCAGCAATGCTGCAGGTCACCAAGTCTCAATAAAACTTTGCCTCTTTCACAAAGGTTTCCAGTTTTTCACTTTCACAGATCTAGCCTTGAATTTCTCTCACAAACCACTCTAGTATGACCTATGTTAATGACTGCTTACGACCTGGTTGTTCATTTTCTTCTCTTGAGACAGTGTTCTGTTGGACTCACAATGCTGAACTCTTGCCTGTAATTACTAACATGGTTCTAACTCTTTCACAGAGAGCTTCACTTAGTTGGCATTGCCCCGTCCAGTCTCCTGAACAGTGCCAAGCAAATACTATCCCTGGTCTTCTGTGAGTCCCAATTCTTATCCACGAAACAACTCCCGGGACTGCAATCTGTGATCTGTAATCTGTAATCTGTACATCACAAAAGAGGGAATTTGTTTTGAATTCCACACTGTAAAGCCTTAAATAAAGCTGAGAATTTAGGCAAGATTTGAAATTTGATTTTTGCCACAGTTAATTTTCTCATGACCCTAGCCCTTCATTTCATATTCCCTCCTCTGTCAAGTAGGGATTCTATGATTCTATGAATTCTATGAACTCCTCTCCCCTGTACGTTTCCCAGCCCTGGTGCCCCCCACCCCCCCCGAAGCCATATTAACTGTAAACCTGCACCCCGCCCCCCAGCGTTACCCTTCCTCTGCCACTCCTCTCCTGACTCCCCTCCACCCCTCCTGCAGATTCTGACTGGGGTATGGCGGAACTGTGCCAAGACTGAAAAATCAGAAACAGGATAAATGGTTAATGTTCTCTTCTGGAATGTGACCACAGAGGTCAGGAGGCATCCCTGGCCAAAGAGTTTGAAAGACTCTCCATTGTGGAAAATCTAATGGCTGGAATGTTTTGCTAATTTTGAGCATGATTTAGGACCAATTCTGGGACTAGACTTTGCTCTGACCGTGAGGTGCCTGCCTGCTAGATCTTTCTGGAGATGGCCAATTAAAAGGCTATCTTTGGGCATGCCATCAAGGATGGTGAGAATGTCCCTGAGGTTACAAGCCCAATCTGACAGCCTGAAATCTTGGAAGAACAAAGGTGTGTATTTCCATTGTCAGAGGAAGAGCATGAAGCTGCCTCCACCTAGTGACACCCTGTTAAGAGTTTTGAACTTGACTAAAACAAATGCTGGCCACAGATGTTTACCAGGCTGATTCCTGGGACAGCAGGACTGAAGTACGAAGAAAGACTGGACTGGTTAGGATTATATTCGCTCGAGTTTAGAATAATGAAGGAGGATCAGCAAGAAACTTATAAAATCCTAACAGGACTAGACAGGGTAAATGCAAGAAGGATGTTCCTGATGATCAGGGAGTCCAGGACCTTGAGTTACAGTTTTAAGGATATGGGATAGGCCATTTAGAATTGATTTGAGGAGAAATTTCTTCACTCAGATAGTAGTGAGCTTGTGAAATGCCAGAAAGTGGTTGAGTTCAAAACATTGAATGTTTTCAAGAGGGAGATAGATATTGTTCTTAGGGATATAGGGATCAAAAATTATGGGGAGAAGCTGTCAACAGGACACAGAATCGGGTGATCATCCATTATCATATTGAATGGTGGGGCAGGCTCAAAGGGTCAAATGGCCTATTCCTGTTCCTAGTTTCTGTGTTTCAATATGCAGGTAGTCCAACTAGGGAGGGGGCTGTACTAGACCTTGTTTTGGGAATGAGCCTGGCCAAATGATCGCAGTTTCAGTGGGTAAACAATTTTAGTACAATGATCATAATTCCGTAAGTTTAGGTAGTTATGGATAAGGCTAAGACGGGTCCTTGGTTAAACTGCTAAATTGGAGGAAGACTAATTATAACAGTATTAGGGAGGACCTGGAGAAACTAGGTTGGGGGTAGCTATTTGAGGGTAAGTCCACATCTGATACGTGGGAGTCTTTAAAGACCAGTTGATCAGGGTTTAGGACCAGCATGGTCCTGTAAGGATGGAAGATAAGGATAGCAAGATTAGGGAAAGTAAGTTGAAATTCTAGGACATGTCAATACTAAGGAGGAGATGTTGGATGTCTTGAAAAACATTAAGGTAGATACATCCTCAAGGCCTGATGGGACAATCCCAGGATACCGAGGGAAGCAAGGGACGAAATTGCTGGGGCCTTGACAGAGATCTTTGTATCCTGTTTGGCCACAGGCAGAGTCTCAGAAGACTGGAGAAAAGCCAATGTTGTTCATTTGGTTAAGAAGGTCAACCAGGATAACCCAGGAAATTATAGGCCAGTGAACCTTACATCAGTTGTAGGGAAATCATTGGAGAAGATTCGTATGGAAAGAACTTACTCACATTTGGAAAAGAATGGGCCTATGAGGGATAGTCAGCTTGGCTTTGTGTGGGGGATGTCTTGTCTCAAAATTTGTTTGAGTTTTTTAAGCAAGTGACAAAAGTGATTAATGAGAGTAGAACAGGGGATGTTGTCTACATGGACAACAAATTTGATGTTCAGCATGAACCGGTTGGGCAGAAGGGTCTGTTTCCGTGCTGTTTGATTCAATGATTATTACTGGGTCCCTCATGGACAGCTGGTCCAGAAGATTAAGTCTCATGGGGTCCACGGTGTGTTGGGCAGTTGGATACAAAATCAGTTTGGTCGTAGAAGACAGAGGATAGTTGTGGAGGGTTTTTTTCTGACTGGACCAATGTGACCAGTGGTGTTCGGCCAGGATCAGTGCTGGAATGTCTGTTTGTAGTAAATATAAATGATTTAGATGAAATGTACCTGGTCTGATTAGTAAGTTTGCAGATGGCAAAAAAATTGGTGAAGTTATGGATAATAAGGAAGGTTGTCAAAGAATACAGCAGGATATAGATCAGTTGAAATGTTGGGCTGAGAAATGGCAGATAGGTTTCAATCCGGACAAGTGTGAGGTGACATATTTTAAGAGTCAAATGCAAGAGGAAATTATAGAGTAAATGGCAGGACCCTTGGGAGCATTGATTTCAGATGGATCTTAGAGTGCTCCCTGAAAGTGGCAACACAAGTGGATAAGATAGTAAACAAAGCATATGACATTCTTTCCTTCATCAGTTAGGACAATGATTATAAAAGTTGGCAAGTCATGTCGCAACTTTAGTTGGGCCACATATGGAATATTGTGTGCATTTCTGTCACCACATTACAGGAAGCGTGCAAAGCTGGTTTACCAGTATGTTGCCTGATTTAGTTATAAAGAGAGGTTGGACAAACTTGGATTGTTTTCGCTATAGTATCGGAGGGTAAGGGGCGACCTGAGAGAAGCATATAAAATTATTAGGGGCACGGATAGGTGCATAGTCAGAGTCTTTTTCCCAGAGTGGAAATGTCAAATACTAAGGTTATAGGTTTAAGGTGAGAGGGGAAAGATTTAAAGAGAGATGTGTGAAGCAATAAAGGATCGTGGGTGTCTGGAATATACTTCTAGGGGAGGTGGTAGAAGCAGATATAATAACAACACTTAAGATGCAGTCAGACACATGAACAGGCAGGGAATAGAGGGATACACATGGGACATGTATAGACAAATAGGATTATGGCATCATGGTTAGTGCAAACATGGTGGGCTGAAGGGCTGTACGGTTCTTTGTTCTAATGTGAAGTATAGTTATTGAAAATTTGATAATTAACGAATCAATTTTCGAGTATTTGTCCTGTTCCCTTTGCCTCACCACCTCAAAAGCACAATATATTAAATAGTTCCACTGCCAAAACACTAAATGCATGTAATAATAAAACACCTATTCAATTAAAAACCTGTACCATGTGTTGTGGAATAATGGTTTTGTGATTCTGGATTTTTGTACCAGTTTTCTCTACAATACTATTTGATTCCTGCAACAAAAACTTGTGCATAGCCTAAAAATATATCGTATTTTTGCTTTATGTTGATAATTTGTTAGTGTTTTGCAAGTGAAGGTATTTAATTCAATCCATGTATCGACTTGTAAAGTGTTTATTAAACAGTCAATATTCAGCTGAATCTGTTGTAATTGGAGCTAGGACTGAACTGTGAAGTTCTTGATCCTGCATATACTATTTGCTGGATGTTAGTTAAAAGCATCTTGATATGGCTGTTGCTAATATGAATGTAATAACGTAATATGAATGTATTTTTTATAATAATCTAAAACTGAAGGTTATTAATGTATTTCCATTGAAAGTAATGGCCAGCCAATATTTAAGATTCATTAATGCATCCCTGTGTCAAAAGGAAAATGAAATGGAGACAAGAGGGCAGGAGAAAGAAAACAAGGGCCTGGTAAATGACTCACTCTGTAGACCTGTGACGCGATGCTGGACAGAACACTATACACATACAGATGAGTCCCCGATGTTCCCTTCAAAATAGAAAACAGTCATTCAGGACAAGAAAAGCATTTCTCAAAGTCACAAACGCAACCATCCTAATGTTAATAATGACCTCTTTTTTTCCTACCAGATCATATTTCCTTTAAACATACTGAGTATTTACGCGGAGAGATCAGTAAAAAAGGTGGTGGGCCTTTACAACAAGGTCAGTAAAAATTCCTGTATTCCACTCATAGATGCAATTTGTTGTCTTTTGCTGCTCTTCTTTGCTTTGTATTAAAGTGGGTAAAAATATTTGATGATTTTTGAGGTAAGTATTATTTGCTATATATTCACAATTTTCACTTAATGTAATCATCAGTTAAAGAGTGGTGCATTTTTGTAATTGTAATTGTTTGAATCTGTATTGTACTTTGAAAATATATTAATGTTAATGCTGGAAAAATTCAAATCAATCGCTGCATTTAGTTTCCTGCTTGATGCTGTGAAGATGCACAGTGTGCCTGTGTCATGCATTAGGCAGTTAATATATCCATCAGTAACCAGTTTGATTTCAAGTTTACTTGGAACTTGCCTCAGTGAATTGATTAGTGTCTATGCTGTGGCAGAGTGGTTAGCACTGCCGCCTCATAGTGCTAGGGACCCAGATTCAGTTCCACCCTTGGGTGACTGTCTGTGTGGAGTTTGCACATTCTCTTTGTGGAATGTGCCTGTGTGGGTTTCCTCTGGGTGTCCTGGTTTCCTCCCACAGTCCAAAGATGTGCAGGTTAGTTGGATTGGCCGTGCTAACTTGCCCATAGTATCTAGGGATGTGTAGGTTAGGTGAATTAGCCATGGGAAATGCAGGGTCAAAGGGTGAAGTAGGAGGTGTGTCTGGGTGAGATGCTCTTTGGAGGGTCAGTGTAGACTTGATGCGCCGAATGGCCTGCTACCACACTGTAGGGATTCTGTGATGTGAATGATAAAGTGCCGTGTGAGGGTAAGAGGAACAATCTTTATGTTTTGAAGTTGCACTGCTGAGGCTGAATTCAAAAACCTTTCTCATTGAATCTGGAGAATCTGTTATGTTGCGCTTGTGATGTTTTGAAGCATAAAGCATTGGGTGATCTGAAAACATGTTTAAATATCTAGTTTCTGAAACCAGTATTTAAATCATTATAGATTTTGTATTCTTTTTCCATCATTATGACAAAAATAACCTAAAAATGGATGGCATGTTCTATTGCTGACTTCGGAATTTTCTGCATCTAAGATTATGTGAGATGATTACTTATGGTCATGGTGCTTTCATTACTGAGTTGGTTTGAGGTCAGTGTAGTGAATTGAATAAAAAACATAGGACTATACCCGCTGTCAAACAGACTTCAGTAGTGAAAATCTGTATGGACTTGGAGATCTATTAAATGTCCATGATAAAATTTAAGTTTAATAAGCAGGTGACAGTTTTACAGCAATATTCAGTTCTCCAGAAAGGAAGTAAAATTTCATAATTTTCTTACCTGACATACTATTTTAGATACTGACATTGAAAGAGGTGTTGGAACTCGTGCAGGTTATCAGATGTCTAATCCCAAGCTGTCTAGTTCAGTAGGCTGGAAAAGAATGGTATGTGTTACATTACCATCAGTCAACGTGTGTCTACATTTATGAGCAGGGGTAAGTGAGTGGAATTATAATGTCAATATATAATTATAATCTCAGTAAAAGAACAATGGAGGAATGTAATGGAGATAGTAGGAACTGCAGATGCTGGAGAATCCGAGTCAACAAGGTGCATAGCTGGATGAGCACAGCAGGCCAAGCAGCATCATTGGCCTGCTGTGTTCATCCAGCTCTGCACCTTGTTGTCTCGGAGGAATGTAATGGCCCATTTTGGAATATGTGACCCATCCTTTGTGGTTTTGTGACTTATTATTTCTGCTTTTGGAGTTGCCCTTTTAAAATCCTATAATAGGACTTTTGGATTTTAAACCAATATTCTGCAAAATCTGTCAGTCATTTTTGTGCACTTTTCAAATATATAAATAAGTAAAGCATCCGTGAAATGTTAATGTATTGGAATAATTGTGTTCCTTTTTTCTTCTCTCCTCTCCTGTCCCACCATAACACTTTCTGTCTTTCAGCAATGGATTCCATCTCCATCATGAGGAATGTGAAAGATGCCAGTGAGACCTTCTTACCTAATGGAATGAGTGGCTTTAAGGAAGCATCCAAGGCTACCATCGGGATTTTAGGAAGTGGAGATTTTGCAAAATCACTGGCAATCAGATTTATCCGATCTGGGTACGCTGTTGTAATAGGGAGCAGGAACCCCAAACGAGCTGTTGGCTTCTTCCCTCCTCTCGTTGAAATTGTGCACCAGGAGGATGCTGTTATGAAAACCAATCTCATATTTGTTGCTATGCATCGAGAGCACTATACTTCCTTGTGGGACCTCAAGCACTTACTGGTAGGCAAAATCCTCGTGGATGTGAGTAACAATGTGCGAATAAACCAATACCCAGAAGCCAACGCAGAGTACCTCGCTTCACTATTCCCAAATTCCACGGTGGTAAAAGGCTTTAATGTAATATCTGCCTGGGCACTGCAGTTTGGTCCAAAAGATGCAAACCGACAGGTAGGAATGTGCTAGATTGGCTGTTTCAAATCAGTCGCAAAACTGTGGTATCTGGTCAATTACTGCTTGAATTAGCGTATGAGTTACAGCAATAAGAACAAGTTATTTCTAAAAATACCGAAAATTCAGTATTCATCAAACTTAAGCACCCCCAATCAGATATGCAGCCCCATGTTGTCGAAGAAGCTGTTTGAGGTAAATCTTATGCACCTCCTTTGAAACAAAATACCTTAGTGTTTTATGGAATTGACTTTAGTCATTAACCAATGCAATGGTACTAAACATATGTGTTTAGTCCCAGTATAAGTGCTTTTACTTCTTTGTCTATTTGGCCTGTGCTTCGACATGTTTTATTCCCTACGCCTTACAACTATAATTAAACCATCTAATTTATCAATGTTCTTCAGGGAATGAAATCTACTGTCCCTGCTCTGCTCAGGCTACGTTTGACTGTAGACCAGCATTAATGTAGTTGACTCATAACTGCCGTTGAAATGGCCTTATAAGTTACTACTTGTAGCTGATTCACCACCAGATATGGGCCGATATGATGGCATTGCCAGCAATTCCCATGCCCCAAGAAAGAGTGTGAAAAAATAAAATCCATGTATTCATAATTAAAGGAACAAGTTTGCACTATGTGATAGTACTGTGAAGAAATTGGGTCATGTATTTTTATCCTTCACATAATTTGCAATGTAGACAAATGTATTTTACCAGAATTCAGGTTAATAGAATTTTGCCAGTGTGTATTGTCATTGTTGCTGATCCTTGTGGTAAAATTTAATTGATTTTGTTTTAGGAATTTACCATTCAGCTAACAGTTCACTTTACCACATTTTTATAAAGAATAACTATCAATTATTTAGTATCTTTCATATCTTCAGGATGTCCCATAGTGCTTCACTGCCAACGAAGTACTTTGAGGAGCAGTAGAATGTGGTAGCCAGTTTTCACACAGCAAGATCCCAATGATTGCAGGTACATTATTGATACAATAAGACACTTTCATGATTTTGGCTTAAAAGAATACTTATACATCAGAACCCTGGGAGCCCTGCTGTTTGAATATTGTCAAGAGATATTTTAGAAGGAGCTGACTGCACATATGGAACCTCAGTTTAATATCTCATCTGACTGGGCTGAAGTGTCAGATTGGATTGTCTGCTGGTCTCTGGGCTAGGTTTAAATCCATCATCATGCAACTGAGGCAACCCATTGAGCCCTGGCTTATGTCTAAAGGTGATAATGAAGAGATCAATTTTCTCTTACCAGTGCTAAAGTCATTTTACTGTCAGACCAAAACTGCATTTTATAAATTAAACTACATGTAATCGCTGGACAGATGAAGCAGAAGTGCTCGCCACTACCAGGACCTGCAAATGTTGATGCTGCTGATACCATATTTAAATCTAATCCATACACTACTTCAGACACTGCAAGCCAGGAGCAGCCCTTCACATTGCAGTGCTCCAGCATTATCATTGAAGGAATAGCCCCAAAAGGCAAGTTAGTTCCCCACTTTGCAGACACCAGCCCAGGAGTTTCTGGTAAGTAGAGTGGTGGAGAGGAGGGGAGTGCAGGAGACAATGCCTCAAATGCAGCCAGCCTGGACTGAGATAGCAACCCAGGTCAATGCCACGATTTCTCTGCTACAAGATTAGATTTGGGAGCAGCGTTGTGAGCACATCATTAATAAGTCACCACAGCTGATCAAGGAAGAAACAGCCCATACCTTTGGCACTCAGAGGGCTCCCAGAGACCAGGCACCTGCTCAGCTGCAGGCAAAAGACAATTCCATTGTCTCAGCTATGAATGACATTATCAAAATGCACAGACAGGCAACATGCAGGTTTGGCAGAGGAACTTATTACATTAGAAAGAAGGATGGCAGAATCTATCAATGTTATCAGACTGTGCCATCTTCAGCATGTGTGTGTCTATATGTCTCCATTGGCAGGTTAGTGATCGTCATGGAGACCCAGATCCAGCACACTGAGGGATCTGCCAGATATGTGCTTGGACTTGCCCTCCATCATTGTAACCATATATGTTTAGCATCAATGGTGAGGAAACAAGAAGATGAGGGACCTTGACCTCACTCCCAGTCATCCTATCTGTCAGGGAGACAGGATGGTACTAGCAGTAACATATAGAGAGGAGGAGACACATATAAAACCCTGAAAAGTTTCCCTTCAAAACAGTCCAGTAGTATCCTTCCACTCCAACACTCCGCTTCCTGTGATTCCCAAAGTGCAACAGTTCAAGCTGCGGCGTTGGGAGGGGGGGAGTGACCCTGCATCTGGGCAGGACAGTCTGAGTAGGACTGGGCCCTCTAGTTCCCAAATATTCCAGAAAGAACCCCCAAGTCTTCCAGCACAACAGAACTATCAACAGAGCAACTCCCTCCACTCCCCCGTGGAAGCTGAGAGTGTGCTGAGAAGTAAAGAAAGGGAGAGGAAGAACTTACTGAGGGTACAAAGATGGCATAGGTGAAATACCATTGTAAATGTATGTTTATTTAGACTGTTAAAATTTCTGCTGTAATGTCATTTGAAGTATTGGATCTGGTTAAGTCACTTCCATGTGAGAGACGAGCAGCCTCACACGTTCTAAGATGAAAGAATTTGTAATGGCCAAGCATTCAACATCTGATAAGCAACCAACTCCTTGACAGCAGATAGCCTCAGACGAAGTCATCCTTGATCTATGATGATAATGACTGCAGCCAAGGTGCTGCATTTTAATGTGAACACTGAGACTAAACACAATGTGCAGTGATTGTATGAGGGCTTGGCATGTATAATTCCATGCTTACATCCACCTTATGAATGAGAGTACAGAATCAGTGATAATTCCAAACACCACTGGAAGGAAACATTCCATTCTGACCATTATCTTTTTAAGGGAGCAGACTGCCATTTAAGGCTGGAAGATGTGCAATAAATAACTCACATGTCCACTCTCCTTCTTAGCATGGTGATCTGTTGAAAAAAGCTGCACAAAGTTGCTTCTCTCACCTCCAGCTGTGTCTTACAGGATGGTTAAGCATTTCAGGGCAATCTAGCGATCTGTGTTCAGCCTGAAACTACGAAGGCTAGCCGATAATGGAAGGTTCAAAAGGAAGTACCTCAGTATTGCACTCAACCTGTTTGATATCATGAGAGACTTCCCTGCAAGGCACTAAGATAATTATGCTAATTGAAGCATTAAAAGCTACTTAAATTTAGCACTAGATAATGTTACTGTACTGATTCACTGCCTGCTGCCCTTTCCCTAATGGCTAGTGGACTTACAATGTGTGGATGCTTGAAAGTGGGATCACCCAAAGATATGAAGCGCACAGTCAGATGGATCATGAAACATTTATTCAGCAACAGAAAAGGTGAAGGACTGCAACAACAGCAAGATCCATATGTCCTTTGTACTAAGCATGGGCTGCCTGCCATCTTAACACAATTAAAGCAAGTCCAGATCTGGCTTATTCATCCTAGGAGTGGATTTAATTACATTCTGTCTTGCCAGTTGGGCTCAATGATGCATTATCTGCCATGCACTTTTGAAGGTTCCTCCCGGTTAAGGTTCTGATTCTGTTTTTGAACAGGAAAAGCCTTGTCTCCCAGCAATCATTCCTATATGCCCCAAAGATCTTGGAAAGAAGCATAAACCAGTGAGCTCTCTAATATGTAAGCATCATTGCAGCACTCAGGATATCTAGTACATGACCACAAAACCTGAGATTAATGGTCACATATAATTTGAACATTGATGGTTTGGAAGCCTTTTCTATTGACTAGGAGGTGCAGGTCAAAGATAGGGTGCTGTCAAAGTAACATGGGTGCAGATGATAATGCACTGCACCTAAGGAAAACCAGAGATGGTGGAGAATCCTGCTGCCCAAGCTGATGACTTCTCTTGTCAGGGGAAATGGATATGAACTGTTGAGGAGACAGTAAGGATTGCAGATGCTGGAAGCTGCAGTCAATAAATGTGGAGCTGGAAAAGCACAGTCAGTCATACAGCATCCAAGGAGCAGGAAAGTCAATGTTTTGGGCCAGAACCCTTCATCAGAATGCTGTCCTTTTGAATGCTGAACTGGCTGTTCTTTTCCAGCTCCACATTCATGAACAGTTGTGATGTGGAGAAAATGCATTGATAACATCTCGGGTCCATTTATGTGTCAAGAATTAAGAGATGCTACACAGGTCCCCAGTTGCTCCTTGAAATGAGCCACTGGCATAAGAATTCAGGGCACTTGTGATATGATGGCCATTGGGATTGCCATCCCACCCTTCTGAACACAAGACCTCTTCCAGTAGATAGCACAGTTCAGTGATGATGGCCTGGGACATCTTTAACTAGTAGCAGCACTGTCTTTCCAAGAACTGTGGAAAGTAACAGTGAGGTCTGTAGGTATGGCATTGACTGGACTCCTCACCTCTTTTGGAGATCTTCACCTGCTGCTACCTCCAGTGGAGACTGTGTGGTAGCTGCCGGAGGTGGTTGTTCTTGCTGGGCTTGCTAACAACATTGTATTTGTGCTCTCCTATGTTGTCTTCTCACTTAAAATCAGGCCTCAAGGACTCTCAATATGGTGATATCCATGTAAGATGCATGAACAAATGATCTGTGGGGAATATCAGAAAGAGAATGCCATTTCATTAACAATGCACTCACATTAATTACAGCTACACGTTATTGCCCTGACACCGTGTGCCATAGCAGTTTCTGAAGGAGGTCATGTCATAGAGATGTACAGCATGGAACAGACCCTCCAGTCCAACTCGTCCATGCCGACCAGATATCCTAGATAAATCTAGTCTCATTTGCCAGCATTTGGCCCATATCCCTTCCTATTCATATACCCATCCAGATGCCTTTTACATGTTGTAATTGTATCAGCCTCCACCACTTCCTCTGGAGCTCATGCACCACCCTCTGTGTGAAAGAGTTGCCCCTTAGCTCCCTTTTAAATCTTTCCCCTCTCACCTTAAAGCTGTGCCTTCTAGTTTTGGACTTCCTCACCCCAGGGAAAAGACCTTGTCTATTTACCCTATCCATGCCCCTCATGATTTATAAACCTCTATAAGGTCATCCCTTAGACTCCGACGCTCCAGAGAAAATAAACCCAGCCTATGCAGCTTCTCCCAATTGCTCAAGCCCTCCAACCCTGGCAACATTCTTATAACTCTTTTCTGAATCCTTTCAAGTTCCACAACATCTTTCCTATAGCAGGGAGACCAGAATTGCACACAGTATTCCAAAAGTGGCCTAACCAATGTCCTGTACAGCGCAACATGATCTCCCAACTCCTTTACTGAATGCACTGACCAATAAAGGCAAACATACCAAACACCTTCTTCACTATCCTATCTACCTGCAACTCTACTTTCAAGGAACAATGAACCTGCAATCCAAGCTCTCTTTGTTCAGCAACACTCCCCAGGACCTCACCATAAGTGTATAAGTCTGCCCTGATTTGCCTTTCCAAAATGCAGCACCTTACATTTATTCACATAAAAACTCCATCTGTCACTCCTCAGGCCATCGGCCCATCTGATCAAGATCCTGTTGTACTCAGAAGTAACCTTCTTCGCTGTCTACTACACCTTCAATTTTGTTTTCATCTGCAAACTTACTAACCATACCTCCGATATACACATCCAAATCATTTACATAAATGATGACAATCAGTGGACGCGGCACTGATACTTGTGGCACACACTGGTCACCGGCCTCCAGTCTGAAAGGCAACCCTCCACTACCACCCTCTGTCTCCGACTTTCAAGCCAGTTCTGTATTGTGCTTCAGTATGGAGCTCTGTGGTATATGACTTTATCTAACTGCGAATTGTACATCCAAAATCTTCATGTTACATCGGGGAATAGAATTTTAGCTAAAAACCAGTGAGATATCCCCCCACCCCCACAGAGGTGCTGAACATTGTGTAATCATCAATAAAGATCCCCACTTCTGACCTTATGATGGAGGGGAGTTGATTGATGTAGCAGCTGAATTTTGTTGGGACTACGTGACTAACCTGAGGAACTCCTGCAGAGATATCCTGGGCCTGAGATGACTGATCTCCAAAACCGCAACTATCTTCCTGTGTGCCAGATATGACTCCAACCAGCAGGGGATTTGCCCCCTGATACTCTTTGACTCCAGTTTTGCTAGGACTCCTTGACACCACACTCAGTTAAAAGCTACCTTGATAACAAGGACATTCACTTCTAAAATTCAACTCCTTTTGCCCATGTTTGGACCTAGTCTGTGATGAGGTGACGATCCAATTGGTGTGGTAGTATTCAAACTAAGCATCGATGAGCAAGGTATTTCTTTGGAAGTGCCATTTGATAGCACTGTCAATGAACTCTTCCATCATCTCACTGATGTTGAAGAGTAGACTGACAGGAGGTAATTGAAGTATGGGGGCTCCTGTCCAGGCATTAATTCTGGTGGAGGTGGGAAAGTGGTGGGTTCGGATTAGGCACCATCCCAACTAATTATTGTTATTCATGCCATCTAGCTCACAGGCTGTGAGAGCAGAAGATTCCACTGAATGTTACAAACCGCTGAATTGTTGCCAAATAAATTTGGTTCCATTTCCTAATGTTAGGCCTTTCTTTTCTGAGCAAAAGTCTTCACTAATTAAGAATGGATCAAAATCTCTTAATTTTTCTAATAAACGGAAGTATTGTTATTTTTTCTCTTTGTTTTGCTTATAAAGAGTATTGTGGTAAAGTGACTTGACCAACTATGATTTTTGATTTAAGAATCTAAAATTTTATTTTAGCTTGCAATAGGTCAGCACAAAAATAGGTATGCCTTTAATGATCATGTTAAAAAAATGTTGCCTTCAATGGAAAGCATTGATACTTGTTTTATTGTTTGTTGTCTGTCAGATATACATTTGCAGCAATGTGGTGGAAGCCCGACAGCAGATCATTGAACTTGCTCGGCAGCTGGACTTTATTCCAATTGATATGGGAACATTGGCTTCAGCAAAAGAGATAGAAAACATGCCCCTGCATCTCTTTACCCTCTGGAAAGGCCCTGTGCTTGTGGCAATCGGCTTATCCATATTCTTCTATATATATTCATTCATCCGAGACATTGTTCACCCCTATGTGAAGAACAAGCAGAGTGACTTCTATAAAATTCCAATTGAAATTGTGAACAAGACCTTGCCTGTAGTTGCAATTACCCTCCTCTCACTTGTATACTTGGCAGGATTGCTGGCATCTGCTTTCCAGCTGAATTCTGGAACTAAATATCGTCGTTTTCCCACCTGGCTTGAACATTGGCTGCAGTGTCGCAAGCAGTTGGGGCTTTTGAGTTTCTTTTTTGCCTCAGTTCACACCATCTACAGTCTCTGCCTTCCAATGCGTCGATCAGAACGTTACTTCTTCCTCAATTTGGCTTATCAGCAGGTAAAGCAAACAATCTGAGCTTCTGTTCTTCTTAAATGCCTGTTATTTATCTTATTTCTTCCTTTCATTTCCTGAGATGATGTTACCAACAAATCATCTTTCTTGCTTTCAACCTGGCCCTGGATCATGAATCTGCTGTGTTCAACATGTTAGACAGCTGGCATTTCCCAGGCTATTAATTCCACTGTTTTAAATGGGCTCTCACAAGACAAAATAAGGTGACCAAGTAAAAATACCTTCACAAACCTTCACCCCCTTCTGTCTATTCTCTGCCTTCACTACTGTCATAATAGGCCCAGCAAAGCAAAGAGCAGCTGCAGATTTGTAACTCTGAATCTGACTGTGTGACCAAAATTTCCCAGCTGTGGAGAGAGATTGTAAACCAGTAGATTCTCAATCTTATCTGAAAATATCCTAGGCCTGAGGTACCAAAAATATGGAAGGCTAACTTTTGATGCTTCATTTTTAGCTGGCAGACCTCAGTGCCTAGCAGTCCAAAGGGCGTCTGGAAGCAGATTAACAACGCTATCTATTCTCGGCATCTCTGCACTGGGTTGCCTTGCAAGTATAGGGGAAAAGAGGTGGAAAACTGGAGACCATTCATTCTCATGCCACTTAATAACTCAATTTATTTGTATCAACTTTAGGTGAAGGCCAAGCTTGACTTCCAGAAATTGCTGAGTAATCTTACCGAGCAACGACCTGGATGCCATTCCTGACACTTCCACCTTGGAAAGACTTGTTTTTCAAAATCAACTGTACAGGCTACTCTAGGATTTTATGTGTTCCAATGCAATGCAAAAATAACCAATCCAATGAATCCAGAGGAAAGTTTGAAACAAAATATTTTGGACAGCGTGTTCTCAAATATTTGGCCCAGACAGAAGGAAATCTCATGCTTTTGTGGACTTAAGTGTTGAAAATTATGGCATAAGCTATGTTTAACCACTGAAAGTATGAGATCATTCATGTGCTTAACCACATCCACGCCTTGGCACTTTCTAGCAGAAATATTGAACTATGAGTAAGAACGCAGGATAATTCCGTCAGCCCCAATCCTAACCAGTGAAACCATTTATAGTGTCTTTCTTACCATAATACAGGCACTGCAAAGAAATATAGATGAGTTAAATGAATGAGCAAAAATTTGCCACGTGGAGTATAATTTCAGAAAATGTGCAATTTGGCAAGAAATATAGCAAAGCAGACTACTATTTAAATGGAAAGAGACTGCAGAACTCTGAGGTAAAGGAGGATACAGATTCCATTCATGACTCATAGGAACTTGACGTGCAGCTATAGCAAATGGAATGTAGTTGCTTATTGCAAGAGAAATGGAATACAAAAGCAGGGATCCTTTGCTACAATAGTATAAAGCCAAAATAGTTTTGGTCTCTGTATTTAATAAAGGACACTATTGCATTTGGAGTGGTTCAGAGCAGGTTTAAAGGAGTTTGTCTTATTAAGAATATTTGAACAGTTGAACCTGTATCCATTTGATATTCTACATCTAGAAGTGATAAGCAAAGAGGTAAAGGAGGTGGGGTATCATCCGTAATAAGACGTGAGATCAATGTATTAGAAAGAGTGGATTTTAGATTGAAGGATCAAGCTGTAGAATAAGTTTGGGAGAGGCAAGAAACAGCAAAGAGAAGCAAACGTTGCTAGGGAGTGTTTACAGACCTTCAAGCCATTGTGCTAATGTGGGCCATGTTATACATCCGGAAATTAGAGATGTATGTAGCATGAGTAATATAGTAACAATGGGTGACATCAATTTGTGTATTGATTCAGTTGACCAAGTCAGCACTATGGCTGTGGAGGATGATTAATGGATTGTGTATGAAATGGGTTTCTGAAACAGAAATCTGAGCAGATATTTAGAAATCATGTAATTTTGAAGTTAATGTTATGTAATGAGAAAAGGCTAATTAAAAGATCACTGTGAGGGAGTATCTCAAGAAATAGTGATCATAATAAGATATAATGTCGCACTCAATTTGAACGTGACATGTTCATTCTGAAACTCAAGTCTTAAATCTAAACAAAGGAAACTATGGGTATGAGAGACAAGTTGGTTATGGTAGCTTGAGGAATACATGAAAGATTTGATGGTGGACAGGCAATGGTTAATATTTAAAGAAATAATATGAAATAGAACAAATATACATTTTCAGTGGCACAAAAAACCACAGGGAAATATTAATTGACCATAACTAATGAAAGAAGGTAATTATTGCATTAGATCAAAGGATATGGCTTATAAGAATGCCAGAAATAATGGTGAGCCTGAATATTGGAAGCAGTTTAGGACCCAGAAAAGGACAACCAAGAAACTGATAGGGAAAAGACAATAAAAGCAAAAAAACATGAAGGTTGACTGTATAAGCTTCTATCTATATGTGAAAGGACAAATATGGTACCATTAAAGTGAGTCAGGAGAATTTATACTGGAGAACAGAGAAACTGCAGAGAAATGAGACAGTTACTTTGTGTCTGTCTTCACCGAAGTAAATACAAAAAATTCAACAAAAATGCTAGGCAGTGAAAGGATTTGCAAAACTAGGAACTAAAAGATATTAGAATTATAAAGTCATAGAGACATACAACACAGAATTTGAAACAAATTCTGATTTGACCATTGATAAATTGTTTGAACCAGATGAGCTTCATCCCAGTGTTGAAGGAATTAACAATAGAGATAGTGAATGGGTTGATAGTTATCTTTCATAATTCTGTAGACTGTGGAAAGGTTACTGCTGATTGGAAATTAGCAGATATAACCCCATTATTGAAGAGAGAAGGAGGAGAGTGAATAAATACAGACATCATCATGACATCAACAGTGGAGAAACTGTTACATCCTATGAAAAAAAGATGTGATACAAGCACAAAACACAAATTGCTGCAGAAACTCAGCAAATCTGGCAGCATCCTCTTCAGAACTCTGAAGAAGTGTCACTGGACCTGAAATATTAACTCTGCTTTCTCTCCACAAATGCTGCCAGACCTGCTGAGATAATTAGGATCATTGAGACACCACCCTGGGGTGTGGTGTTGTTCATTGGACCAAAAGATGAAGCACCGTAGAGGTGACAGATTTCATTGTTCCACTTCTGTCAGTCCACCAAATACCTTAATTGTTGTCTAGCTGTCTGCTAGCTAGCCAGACTGCTTCCACCCATGCCAAGGTGTTGCAGTCTGAAGCCAAGGTTTCTAGGACCAAAGCTCCTTGGGTTGTCCTGCAAGGCCACCTGAAGTCTCCCTCACTGAAAATCAGCAGCCTTCAACACCAGCAGTGCAGTAGCCACTGGGAAAGCACTGCATAAGAGCATCAGGACAGACAAATGTACTCACAATTCAAGTGTGAAGAGAGTATACTAATTTGGCTGTCTTGTATGGAATATTGGATAGATTTTTTTTAGTTGCATTGGTTTGGAGTGATTGAAATATAGAAATAAAATCCACAACAAACAATCTAGAGAACACTAGAATGTAACAGACAAAACAAAATGTGCAAGTATTGTTGAATGTGGAATTAGAATTAGATTCACTGACACTACAGTCAGTTGAGACTTTCTGGAAAGTAGCACCACAAACGAGTTTAAAATGAAGGTTCATGACTGCCACGAGGATACAAGGCATTCACCTGTATCTTGTGCTGGGCCTGATCAGACACCAACTGGACATTCAGGGAATTGAACCCTTAGTGGTTGAGATTCATTTCCACATTTTGATGCTGTTACGATCTCTGTTACAGACCAATAACTTTTAAAAAACTAATTCTAACTTCTAATTGACAGTTGAAAGGATGACATTCAGATTTCATGTTTAATGACTTTTACTGTAATCTTCTGAAAATGAAACCCTATTTTAGTGGGCAGCTTGTATTTTGAATGACAGAACAGAAATTTCCAATTTCCCCTTCACTTTTACTGCAATACTGATAAAACACAATTCTCAGGTATTACTGTATTCTTTAGGCAGTCGTTGGATTTTCCTGGACCCAGCTTAAAGTGATTTGTATTTACCAGAGCTTACTTCTGTTCCTTTCCTTTCACAGCTTAGTGACTTTTAACCTCAGAACTATCTTTCATGATGAGGGTTTTTCTTTGTGATTCTTCCTTGAGTGCAAGCCAGGTGATACCTCCAGCCTCGTAGCAACTTAACACAAATGTTTTTTTGTCTGACTGTAAGCCCCCATCTTCATTCTGTAGGATATATTGTTGAGACTTTCAGCCTCTAGTTTGTTTCTTCACCTAATTTCTGACTGTCTATGTCTGAGAGTTTCAGGAATATCTTAGAAACACTACCACTTTCAAAATCCATTTCCATGGCAATGCAAATCATAGGAACCTTGTATTGCTAATTAGCTATCCCTGAGAGCCCAATTATTCTTTATCTCAGAAACAAATGGAGATTTAAAGCTATTTCCAACCCACATTCTCAACACCTTCCTGGGACATCAGAGAGCAGCTTTCCAGTCACTGTGAACACAGATTTTGTTGCCGTTGCCTTGAAGTACAAATACATTACATCTTCTTTCCAGCAAGCAAAGAGGATTTTTTTTCATCCTTAACAGGCATGTTACCAGGCCTTTTATGAAGCAAACTTAAGAAATTAAAAGAAACAGTCAGACACATAAAAATCTTATTTAGCTTATATTTGTATCAGTGCCTTACCCACAACCATAATGCTGTACCAAGGCCAATCCTACTAACCTGGCAAAACCACTTGCACACTGCATCTTCTCTGACTCTGGCTAGAGAATGTGTAATGTATACCCTTTACAGCTTGTCAACGACCTCCCTCAAAGGGCTGTAGGCAGAAATATTAGAAATGTTGCCTGTTTCAGCCTTGGAACATCCTGAAATGCCATCCATCATCTCATACCAAGTAGCAGATTTAAGTGAGCATCCCTTTGTAAAGTGAAGACATTGCATATGCTACTCATTGCTGAGATTGATGTTGAGAACTGCTTCCTGAAGACATTGGCCTCCTCTCCTCCACCCTGTTTAAACAATTTGTCTTGCTTCTACTTAATCTCAATGTTATGCTGCAGTCTAAGGAATCTGAAAACTCTGAACTACTCGAGTAACAGGTAAGCCCTCATCGCATGCAATACATTGGCTTGTTGACTTTACCTAAATTAGCTGCAGATAAATCACAGCAGCAGCTTGAAAAAATCAACCGGCAACTAACCCAGTTGATAATCCCTTTAAATATATCTTTAAATAAGGGTGCAGTTTGCTGTGAGCCCTTCTGCTGCTGAACGGCTGATCAGTGACATATGGATGTGAAACAGCATTAGCTGGAGCATTGTGGTTGTAAATGGCACAGCTGACATTAATTTAGTATTATATGCTCACTGATGTAATCATCTGCTGACTCTGCATATTTATACCATAAATTCTTAATGCCCATGCCAATGTGCCACAATAAAAATGCGGTGTGGTTGCCATTTCATACACAAACTCGCCCATGGTGCTAGAAATATGAGCGATATGGAATTGAATTTTGCAATCCATGTGACAAGCCATTGTTTTGCCCAGAATACAGTTAGTATAGCAATTCATATAACAATTTATAGTAACATATAATTTGAAATCAAATGTTTTCTGTTCCAATTACATCTTGTGCTTATGCAATATTTCATCACGTTCTTCAGAACTATCTGTAGTTGTCATGTATTAACATACTTTAAAGTTCAGTGAAATAGAAAAACACAATAATCCAGGTGCTGTGTATTGTTTACTTGTCATCTGAAGTATTATTCCTATAGTGCCATACAAGTTATTCTGTTTGTACAAAAAATATATAATTTATGATCTTAGCACTGATTTAATTATTAATTGTCTGATGTCCACTGGTGAAACTAATTTATGACATCTGTGTTGAGAGTTTTATGAATTTACAAGCTTTGATTAAAGTGGGTGGTTTGAAAACAAATGTCTGAATTGATGTGAGGGATTTATTGTGATCATTTCGTAGGTTCATATCAACATTGAAAATTCTTGGAATGAAGAGGAGGTATGGAGAATGGAAATGTATATCTCCTTTGGAATTATGAGTCTGGGTCTACTCTCATTGCTAGCAGTTACGTCTATCCCTTCAGTCAGCAGTTCACTGAATTGGAGGGAGTTCAACTTTATTCATGTATGTTTCTCTTTCATTTCATTTATTAGTGATGTGCAACTTTTTGAATTCAATCTAATTGCTATTTTTAAGCATTGTTTCAAATTGTCCATTGCTTTAGAAACCTTTATGTGGAAATATGTACCAAGTAAGTTGGAAGGGTTTTTCTGTTGCAAGTAAGTAAGAGTTCCAATAGCAAGCTAGAACCTAATGAGCATTTTTTTTATCTCCTGCGTTTTTTTGATGGTGCAAAACAGACAGGTAAACATAAAATGTGTAACTAATTTTAGGCAGAACCCAAATCAACAATTCGTGGTCTTCCTTGCAGACTCCTGCTGTAACTTGAGCATGAGTAGTACAGACATGACTCAGGGGAACATTTGTCCTTTTATTTCTGAGTTGGAAGTGACATTCTGTAACCCTTTCTGAACTTGGCTACTTGCATCAGACTTTCCAGTTCAACCAGCGAGGCCTATTTTCACTTCTGATTTAGGAGTAGAGAGTCCGGACACCCCAAAACCAGAGAAAAAGTGGTCTGGTAGGTCTGATTTGTTCTAGGGTAGCAGAGTTCCCTGGGAGTTAGGCTGGGTAACACCAGAATGACAGCTAAGGCTGCTGGGTGCAGAGGCAAGCTAGACAGAAGGCTAGCCTTGGTGCACAGGCACCATGTTGATGATACTTTTTTTAAAAATGTTTAAAGCAAAAAAAGAGCTCCCAGCATCACCCCTCATACCAATGTTCCCTGTAATGTTGTTTCCTTCTGTGAGGACCCTCCAAGGTCTGTGTATAACAGTCCCTTACACAAGGGAGGTTAATGCAACACCTTGCCAGTTGGCATGCGCAGAACCTCCGAGAAGTTGCATGGCCATGAAGCTTAGAAGGAATGTTGCTTCATAACCCCTCATAATCCTAACCTTAACCCCGTAACTCCTCACTGCCTCCATGTTACCCTATGCTCCTTCACTTACCCCCATGACCACTCATACCCCTGATGCAAATATTGGTCCCACTCATCCCATCTTCCTTTATAGAGCCATGCTAATCTACAGCAAAGTCATTCTTTTCCCATGACCCCTACCATTCTAGCTGACCTATTATTGACCATGGCAGATCCCAGAAACAATGTTTATCATAGAATATCATCATAGAACCCCTACAGCATGGAAATAGGTCCGTCAGCCCAAAAAGTCCACACTGACCCTCAGAGCATCCCACCCAGACCCATCCCCCTGTAACTCCCCCTAATCTAGGCATCCCTGAACACTACAGGCAATTTAGCATGGCCAGTCCACCTAGCCTGCACATCTTTGGACTGTAGGAGGAAACTAGAGCACCCAGAGGAAACCCACGCAGACACAGGGAGAATGTGCAAACTCCACACAGACAGTTGCCCGAGGGTGGAATTGAACCAAGGTCCCTGGTACTGTGAGGCAGCAATGCTAACCACTGAGCCACTGTGCCACCCAGCTGACAAAATGCTGACAAAAAATAAAGTTCTGTGATTATAAACTAAATTACAATTTTAAAAGTGATTAAAATATATTCAATATATCAAAATTCCTTCAGTTAATCTCTTATGGGAACAAACGCTTCACTTGGTACTAATTCTATAATGAAAACAAATATTTCTATTCTATAACCAATTTCAGTTGACAATTGAAGTGTTCATTTAACAGGCACCACACTGTGATAATGTTAGGTTGCAATGCAAATCGAATAATAATAGCCCTTAGGCATATGTGAGCATAGTGACAGGTAGCAAAACTGTACTTTTGTTTTAATTAGGTAGAGAAAAACTAAATTCCTTGAAAACCTTGAAAGTTCAAATGAGTTATAGAGAGATTTTTGATATCTTCATGGTTTTATGAAAACTTTCACAGTTTAAGTGAGTTTATGCACTTCTTACACACATTTCTTTCCATGTCTAACAGTCCCCAAGTGCATCTGACTTCTCCAAATGGAGCTTTATCTCTCTCAAGGAGCATTTGGCATTTCCTAAAGTAACCTGGAACCATATCCAAAAGAGTGCCTTCCCTCTGTGAGAAGGTATCCTGGTTATCCAAATGAATGTACCAGGTTCAGATCTGCTTTCAGAAGGTCTAAACTGCACGCTTCTAGTTTCTGACAAGTACCTCACCAAATTCCTACGCTTAGTGGATACACCTGCTGATTTATACGGGCAGCTGCCTTTAGAGGCAAGCATGAACAGCTAAGAACCAGGTCCCCCCTTCTGAATTCATTCACATGCTAAAACTCAAGTCAAAACGTCTGTATAGATTCTACAGGGGATATAAATGGACTTTCTGAGACTTTTACAAGAAAATGCATATTAGAAGAAAAAGATATTAGAAGAAACAGCATTTGTCCCATTTTTAGGACAACACAAGTGGGGGGATGAAAAGATTTTTTTATTCATTCACAGGGTGAGGGTGTTGCCGGCTAGGCCAGCATTTATTGCCCTCCCTAATTGCCCAGAGTTAACTACATTGCTGTAGGCCTGGAGTCACATGTAGAGACCAAGCAAGGATGCCAGCTTCCTTATCTAAAGACATTAATGAACCAGATGGGTTTTCCTGACAATTAACAATGGTTTCATGGTCATCATTAGACTCTTCATTCCAAATTTTTAGTGAATTCAAATTTGTTGTTGTGAGATTGCAGGACACTACCTGTGTCACTGGATTAATAGTCTAGCAAGAATACCACTAGGCAATTGGCCTCCCCTAATTCTTACTATCTGGATTGATTGAAACAACTAGCATTGCTACATTTGAGGCGGCTTGATATATGAAGGAGAAGGGCATAGGGAATGTATGGAGAATAGTTTGTAAAGTGGGAGAAAACTCAACCGGAGCATAATACTGACACAGACAACCTGGACTGTATGGCCTATTTCTGCGTGATTAGATTCTATTTAAAGAAGAGGTGAAAACTTTCTGCAGTACATATGACTTGAAACTAAGGATAAGTGCAAAATGGTAAGTATTCCAAATAAGTATTGCTGATAAAAAGGCTCATTTTGACAAAAAAAATTATTCACACATGAAATGTGAATGTCACTGGCTAGGCCAGCATTTATTTATCCCTAGTTGCTCTTGAGAAGGTGGTGGTGAGCTGTCTTCTTGAACCACTGTAGTCCACATGCTGTAGGTTGACCCACAATGCTCTTAGGGATGGAATTCCAGAGTTTTGACTCAGCGACAGAGAAGAACTATCCAAGTCAGGATGGTGAATAGCTTGGAGGGAAACTTGCAGTTGATGGTGTTCCCACATATCTGCTGCCCTTGTCCTTCCAGATGGAAGTGGTTGTGGGTTTGGAAGGTGCTGTCCCAGGATTTTTAGTGAATTTCTGCAGTGCATATTGAAAATGGTACACACTACTGCCACAGGACATCAGTGGTAGACGGAGTAGGTGTTTATGTATGTGGTACAAATCAAGCAGGGCTTTTCCAGCATGTTGTCAAGGTTCTTGAGTGTTGTTGGAGCTGCACTCATCTAGTCAACTGTGGTGTACTCCATACACTTCTGATTTGTGCCTTGTAGATAGTGGATAGGCTTTGGCGAGTCACGAGGTGAGTTACTCGATGCAGTATTCATAGCCTCTGACCTGCTCTTCTAACCACTATATTAATACAGCCAGTCTAATTCAATTTCTGATCAATGGTAACCCCTAGGATGTTGATAGTAGGGGAATCAATGATGGTAACACCTTTGAATGTCAAGAGGCATCTCTTATTGAAGATGATCATTATCTGACATTGTTGTGACATGATTGTTAGTTACTACTTTTCAGCCCAAGCCTGAATGTTGTCCAAGTCTTGCTGCATTTTGTCTTGCACTCATCAGAACATTTCCAGCGCAGACAAGGAGATTGATCATCGGTATCTGGGAACTGAATTATCAGGAAAGAGTAAAGAAATGTGTACTTTTCAGCAGTAAACTTGCATCAGAAAAGTGTTCACACAGGGCTTAAGAAGATTGTTAGAGAAATACAAACATTAACATGAACATGATTTAAAATTGCAAGATGGGACAGAGATTCAAACATCTAAAAGATAACTTTAGGGCTGAAAATTTGGCAAAGAATAAAAATTATAAAGATAATGTAGTGGAGAAAGAAACGTTAGAATAATTTAAGAATGGATATTGAGATGTCTGGTTGGTTGAGGCAAGATGAATGAAATGAACTTCATCCATTTACCATTCAAAATTAAAGCTATTGAACTTCTGAGGTAATTTGGCAGTTACTTGGCAGAATCTTCTGGACACAATGAGGATGTGAGCCACTGGCTGAGAGCCTTTGGTCATCTCTTTTAAAGAGGGTCCAATATCATGTGCTGCTCAAGTACTTAACATGCCAGTACTAATTGCCCAATTGAGGGCCTCAATAGGCTTCAGAGTGGAAAGGCTGTCTCAAGGTCTACCCTGGACCGAATCAGGATGGAGACAGGAAGGGGGCTGGGTACCCACTTGCTTACTTCCTGCCTGATTAAATGTCTGTCACTAATAAACCTGCAATACAGGAAGATATTTGCTCACTGCATCTGAATATGCACTTCAGATTTAAGCCTTTACAGAAGGCACTGCTCATCCTTTCCTGTACATTTTAAACAAAATCATTGAAAGTATTTGTCAGATACTTTTCATTTTCATTAAGATAAATTGCTTCATCTTCATGCTTTATGTTCAATATCATCGCATTACAGTTCCTAAGCAAAATATTATGGCTACATAAAATGAGTGGTAAGGAATAGATTAACTTATTAGTTCTATTTTTATCTGTATTATCAACACAGAGCTGTGGGGGAAGAATCCTTTTGCATATTTAAGGCTGAGAAAGATAGATTCTTGATCAGTAGAGCAATCAAGAGTTACAGGGAATGGGCAGGAAAATGGATGTAGGGAATGTCAGATCAGCAGTGACCTTATTGAATAACAGAGCAGTCTCAAGGGACCGAATGGCATACTCCTGTTCCTATTTCTTATGGTGTTATTATAGATGCTGTAAATACATCCAATAG